CCATTTATATAACTTCTATTGGAATGTAACGTGGAGGAGCAGCCTCGAAAAGCATATGTATTACCAAAAGGCATGCTATTAAGTCTATTCCCATATTATACTGTCTTCTCTAATAAAAGAAAGACAAAGGAAGGGAAACACACTTAAAAACCTCTATATAGGGGTGCCTGGGTGGCTCTGTTGGTTAACCGTCTGTCTGCCTTTGGCTTGGGTCATAGTCTTGGGGTCCGGGGATCGAGCCCCGCGTCGGGCTCCCTGCTCGGAAGGGAATCACCTTCTCCCTCTTCCTCTGCCCCCCCCCCCGCTCGTGCTCTCTCTCTCATAAATAAATAAAAAATACTTACTTTTCCCCTTTAAAAACAGAAAAACCTCTATGTCTACCCACTAACCTGACACACTTACTAGATTGGTATTGAGGCAGATTAATTCTGGACCAATGCCTTGACAGTTGTCAACAGAGCCCTCTGTCTCTATTCAGCCACAGTAGCTCATTTCTTTTTAAAAAGATTTTAGTTATTTATTCAACAGAGAGAGAAAGCACAAGCGGGGGAGCGGCGGGCAGAGGGAGAAGCCGACTCCCCGCTGAGTGGGACTCGATCCCGGGACCCTGGGACCATGACCTGAGCTGAAGGCAGACGCTTAACCGACGGAGCCACCCAGGCGTCCGTCCAGACACTACTCTGTTCCAAATACTCTATCAGTCAGGGTGCAGACAGGAAAGCCGAAACCACACTAGGTAGTTCAAACATAGCAAATCTAGGAAGAGGATTTGTTATGAAAATACTTGAAGAGCTCACTGAGCAAAATGAGAAGGGAGGGCACCCCAAAGTTCAGTGTTTGCAGGCAGTTGTCCCGTACCCAGGGCTGGGAGATTCTGAGCACAGAACACACTCCCTACCAGCAGTTATTGCCAGAACCCCGAATTTCTGCTGCTGAAACTGCCCAAGGCTGTAGCCTGCAGCCTTGCATTGCTACAGGAGAGGCTTCCAGAAACAGAGATAGAACAATGGCTTCTCCCCTTTTCCTGCCTTCCAATCTCCCCCAGTGCTTCCCCTATTTGGTCAAACACAACTAGAAGCCAGCTGCCCAGGGATTCCAGGAAATGCAATTTGTAGCCGTCCAGTCCTCTGCAAAACAGAGCAGAGCACGAGGGTAGGCGCTCCATTTCCATTCCACTGGAGAATGAAATGGAGCTGAGAACAAACAGGAACATAATTGGACCACTCACCTTTAGATTTTTGCTTTTATTTTTTATTTATTTGTTTTGAGAGACAGAGAGAGAGAAAAAGAGAGAGCAGGGGGAGGGACAGAGGGAGAGGGAGAGAGAGAATCCTAAGCCTGTTCCACGCCCAGCACGGAGCCCGATCTCACGACCCTGAGCTCATGACCTGAGCCGAAATCAAGAGTCAGACGCTTAATCGACTGAGCCACCCAGGCACCCCTAGATCTTTCTTTTTAAGTAAAATGAGACAGGTACCTGTCTCCCAAACTCTAGAGAACACATGTTCACTCTCTGAGTGATTGTCTGAAGCATCCACTTACTTGGCTTGAGATGGGCAGTGAGTAGCAAAGCACAACAACGAACTACCATGGTGCTGAAATATTCAAAATACTGAATACCTTTTTTTCAATCTCATGGTTATCCTGTAACAATCGTGTTGATATTTTGTGCTGAGGATGCAAAAGCGATGGTGGGTAGGACTGCTGGTGCCTTCCCCTGACTTGAAACAGTGGCACCAAACCATGCTAACAGTTACTGTATACCTTGCACGCAGAGTCAAAATAAACGCCCCTTTCACTAAAGAACGTTTTTAATAACGTAGGAAACAGAAGGATGTGTAAAGTGCTCTGATTCCCTGCTGCTCCAACCCTGATTCTGGTTTAGCTTCTGCCCTGTGTAGCCTTACCTTACTCTGCACCCAGATACTTCGAGAACAGCAGGTTTGTTGGTCTATTTGTGAGAGTGAGGCAACTGAAGACCCCTTATACCTCCTATAGAAACAACAAGGCCTCATAGATTGTGTCCTTTTTTATTTAAAGATTTATTTATTTACTTTAGAGAGAGCAAGAGACGGGGGAGGGACAAAGGGAGAGAAAATCCCAAGCAGACTCCCTGCTGAGCAAGGAGCCTGAGGTGGGGCTTGATCTCAAGACCCCGAGATCATGACCTGAGCAGAAATCAAGAGTCGGATGCTTAACCAACTGACCCATCCAGGCACCGGGGACTGTGTCTTACCAAGGGTCTAGTTATGCAGAGGGAGGGTCTCTCAGAGCTCCTGGTCATATGATAACAGAAGTGATTATAGGGCGAGCATAAAATAAAGATATTTCAGATAGGCAAGCTTCCTTTCATGGGAAGCTGCAAAGGAGATATTTATCAAAATAGGGAAGGAAACCAAAAAAAAAAAAAAAAAAAAGGAAGTGAGCCTGAGATCAGGAAAATGGCAATCTAACATATCACCCCAAGATGATGGTGAAGGGAACTCCACAGTGACAGGTGTACATACACACAGAGAGTGAAAAACCCACATATGTGCTCAGAAAGCGCCAGGGAGGAATTTGGATAACTGGTCAAGAATGTGGAGTTGAATTACCGATCAGCATTGATAAAACAGTGTAGGGAAAAAAATTAATTCCTGAACTGCGCCTGGGTGGCTCAGTTGGTTAAGTGACTCCCTTCGGTTCAGGTCATGATCCCAGCGTCCTGGGATCGAGCTCCGCATCGGGCTCCCTGCTCGGCGGGAAGCCTGCTTCTCCCTCTCCCACTCCCCCTGCTTGTGTTCCCTCTCTCACTGTGTCTGTCAAATAAATAAATAAAATCTTTAAAAAAAATTAATTCCTGAGAAGATAAAAGTTATGCAGAAAAGGAAAGTAATCGTATTTTGGTACATGTCTCTTTTTTTTTCATTTTCTAACACCTTTATTTTTTTTAAGTTTTTATTTAAATTCCAGTTAGTTGGGGCGCCTGGGTGGCTCAGTCGGTTAAGCGTCTGCCTTCGGCTCAGGTCATGATCCCAGGGTCCTGGGATCGAGCCCCGCATCAGGCTCCCTGCGAAGCCTGCTTCTCCCTCTCCCACTCCCCCTGCTTGTGTTCCCTCTCTTGCTGTTTCTCTCTCCCTGTCAAATAAATAAAATCTTAAAAAATAAAATAAAATAAATTTTAAAAAATTCCAGTTAGTTAAAATACAGTGTAATATTAGTTTCAGGTGTATGATATACTGATTCAACATTTCCATACATTACCCGGTGCTCATTAAGTTAATGGTCATTCAAATTTGAACCCATTCTTTTCTCCTCTCCTCCCTTGTAGGTATATTTTATATATATTTTACAACCTTTTGTTCACGTGTAAGTTCCCTCACTGATTTTCACGGAAATATTTTCACTGCTTTTGTGTTTCCTCAATGTGGCCTCTTCTCTTCTTCAGTTATGGAGTTTGTTCTGTCAGTCTTCAGGTCGATTTCTGGGGTATTTAGGATGATTTGATAGTTTTCTAGTTGTGTTCGTGGGAGGAGGCAAGCCTAGGGTCCCCCTCTGCTGTCGCCATCTTCCTGCTCCTAAACGTTTCAGTTTTTAATAAATTTCAGAGTCATAATAATCAGAGTGGGAGTTTAATGTATAATGTTGCCTGCTGAGGAATCAAGAAGTAGCGAGACAAATGAATTAAACGTAAAAGCAGTCAGCGAGGCGTGCGTGGCTCTCAGTCGGTAGAGCACCAGAGTCTTGGTCTCGGGGTTGTGATTTCAAGCCCCATGTTGGGTATAGAGATTACTTAAAAATAAAATCTTTCAAAAAGTAAATAAAAGTAATCAGCTGAGTATTGTGGGACATTAAAAACCCTGTCATCCAGGACATATTGCTTTCACTGGAGCTAATTCCACATGCGTCTTTCAACAGGGTGATTTCCTGCCACTGGCCTCAAGATCATCAGGCCTGTGGAACTACTCTATTTTGAATCTTGCTGCCTGAAGTTTGGTTGCTACCACTGGTTGGTCCACACTGTAAAGTTATGTTGCGTGTTCAGCCTACGGAATGGGCAGTTTTTAGATTCATATTTGACAACTCCATCTGTTGTCCCACTCTGAAAAATAAAAATTAAAAACAGAAATGAGTGTTTGGACCTGAAACCAAGCCTTTACATATAATGTCGTTTACACAGAAATTACTGTGTTTCAGGGACGCTAACAACAGTATGAGTGGCGATGAAAAAAGGTATGGAGGGAAAGGGCTTTTATGTGGCTCATCAGCTACTCCTAGAATCCCTGTCATTAAATTTTTTTTTTCAAGATTTTATTTATTTGGGAGAGAGAGATCACAAGCAGAGATTGAGGAATATTAAGTTAAATAGAATTTTTAAAAAGATTTTAATTATTTGAGAGAGAGAGAGAGAGAGAGAATGAGAGAGAGAAGAGAGCGCGCAAGCAAGGGGGAGGGGTAGAGGGAGAAGCAGATTCCCCGCCGAGCAGGGAGCCCGATGCGGGGCTCCCTCCCAGGACCCTGGGACCATGACCTGAGCTGAAGGCAGACACTTAACCAACTGAGCCACCTAGGCGCCCCTGTCATTAACTCTTTCACTAGCTCATTCAAGGGCCTGACAGAGTCACATCATCTCTTGGTATTACGTTCTGATTTGTTACATGACAATACCTGTCCTAGTTACAGTACACTGTTATTATGAAATTCATATGTACTGATGTTCATGAAAATGTTTAGAAAAGTGTAAAAACCTAGAGCACAAAGAGGGATGCTGGTCCAGGGCTCCCCCCAGGAATAAACCATGTATGAGAACTCTGAAAAAAAAAAAAAAACATATATAAGATACCCACACATTTCCAAGAAAAATATTGTTTTTATTTTTATATTTTTAAGATTTTATTTATGGGCGCCTGGGTGGTTCAGTTGGTTAAGCGACTGCCTTCAGCTCAGGTCATGATCCTGGAGTCCCGGGATCGAGTCCCACATCGGGCTCCCTGCTCAGCAGGGAGTCTGCTTCTCCCTCTGACCCTCTTCCCTCTCGTGCTCTCTATCTCTCATTCTCTCTCTCTCAAATAAATAAATAAAATCTGATTTTATTTATTTATTTGAGAGAGCGCAGAGCAGGGGAAGAGGCAAAAGGACGGAGAGGGAGAAGCAGACTCCCTGCTGAGCAAGGAGCCCGATGCGGGACTCGATCCCGGGACTCTGAGATCATGACCCAAGCCAAAGGCAGACGCTTAACCGACTGAGCCACCGAGGTGTCCCTTGCCAAGAAAAATTTTAAAATATTTGGCTTCTTATTTGACCTCCAGCACATGTATTATGTATTTTACAAATAGGTTGTCTAAAAAGAAAAATAAACAGATATTAATGAAAACATTTCCTCCACAAAAGCCAAATTTATAACCTCAGAAATCTTTACACATTAAAATATTACGAGGAAGATACCCCAAGAAGGTTATCATATTGGAGTTTTGTTTAGAAAAGAGACATATCAGTCCCCTCTGATCTTCTCTGTCAGCTGGTTTACAATTATCACTTATCCAAAAATTAACTTGATAGGAATAATCAAAATTGGCTCTAAGAAAAATAAAAAATAAAAAAGAATTAGAGAATTAAGAAAACCCAAAAAACAAAAAATAAGATTAAACAAACAAACAAAAAAAGAAATTGGCTCTGATATTGTGATGCATTAGTTTCCAGATTTGTTAACATTTCTCTCTTCTGAGATATCTTGTTTTATCTGGAGCATCTTGTAAAGAATCTCATTTGGTTTTATGCTTTCCATCATCTCTTCTCTCTCGTTGGATTATCTCCCTAGATTGACAAGATCCTCAATTTTCTCCATAGTAGATATTAAGTTATTTATGCTGTTGTGTTGGTGGATCCATGGAGGAAGCAGCAGAGATTGAGGAATATTAAGTTAAATAGAATTTTTAAAAAGATTTTATTTATTGATTTGAGAGAAAGAGAGAGTATAAGAGAGAGAGAGCATGCACAAGCAAGGGGGAAGGGTAGAGGGAGAAGCAGATTCCCCGCTGAGCAGGGAGCCCAACAAGGGACTCGATCCCAAGACTCTGGGATCATGACCTGAGCCAAAGGCAGAGACTTAACCGACTGAGCCAGCCAGGTGCCCCAAGTTAAACAGAATTTTTAACTCAACTTATTATTTAAGTTAATACTTGGCTTAAAAAATACTTAATATTCTGGGATTGCCTGGGTGGCTCAGTCGGGTAAGCTTCTGCCTTCAGCTCAGGTGATGATCCCGGGGTCCTGGGATCCAGTCCCGCATTGGGCTCCCTGCTCAGCGGGGAGCCCACTTCTCCCTCTGCCTGCAGCTCCCCCTGCTTGTGTTCCCGCTCTCTGACAAATAAATAAATAAAATCTTTAAAAAAATACTTAATATTCCTCAATCCCTCACGCTAAGGAGTATTAAGTCAAATGGAATAATTTCAAAGTCACTTTCTATGTTTTTATACCAAACAAAATCTTTGATGGGGTCAACACAAAACAGGACAAGTGGTTCTTCAGAAAGTAAGAAGCCAAAGTAAAACAAACAAGCAAATAACTAAAAACCAAGAAAACGCTCTAACTTGGTCCCAACATTCATTTTTCAAAATTCAAGAAGGCGGGTAGTTGATAAGATGACTAATCTGGGGACATCTCACATTCTCAAGCTATCAATTCTAATAGGTCATTGGCATACCGTGCAAACTGGTTTCAAATACCCATTCAAATGTGTTCGGGATGTTCCAGTTGCTTCCAGAAAAGGCATACTTAATGATTATTGAAGAGAGAAAAATTCCCCGATGGCTCCTCTGGGGAAACTAATCCTAGCCACTATCTGTCTCAATGATTCCAGATCCTTCCACCACAGCTTTCTTCTGAGTAACTGTATGCCTTATGATTTTCTGAACTCACCCTTTCAAGTCAGAAAAAATTAAAACTGTGCTATCATATTTGGAAATCACTGTTAATTAACCCTCACTGAGGCTATAAATGAAAAATAATAGATAATATCCTTTAGACTACTGGTGTCTTCCTAAGGAATTTTAAATGCAAATAGGGGAGCCTATGGACTGCTATAGAGAATTCATATCTACTCGTCAGAGCCTGTTCCCTCTCTGATCTTAACTATTTCCTTCTCCCTCCTTCACTGTATTCCAGCCACGCTGGCCTCCTTGCTCCTTTACAAGCTCTCCCAGCACACTCTCATTTCAGGGCCTTGGCACATACCATTCCCTTGACGATCCCTCCCATCCATACCTTCTTCTGACTTTTACTTCAAGTCACTTGAGACCTTCCCTAACTTTACTCTATCTAGACACTCTGGTCAACAATCCGTATCCACCTCCCCCACTTTATTTTGTATGCTGCATTCATCATATACTCTATATTTTACTTATTATGTTTATTGTCTCTCTCCCGGATAGAACATAAGCTCTAATAGGACAGAGCTTTCTCTCTGGATTTGTCTCTTTTTTTCCAACCGCTGTCTCCCCAGCACCTAAAATCTCCTGCCCATGGTAATTTAATGAATTAGCGAATATGCAGGTATATTTCTATAACTTAATTTTTTTTGCAAGGTGAATATTAAATCTTTATTGAAAACTTCTGGAAAATGAGGTATTTGCAGACATTCAGGGCTGGTCAGCATGAACAACTAGCACATACTAGGCTCTGTTCATCTTGCTTCACTGTCTCATTTCTTCCCATATGAAAACTTCCCCCATCACCTCGAAGATTTTCATATTCTAACAATCTAGCACCCCTGCATCCTTCAAATCCCATCACAGCTCATTATGCTCATTCATCAAAAACACCTAACATGCTGACAGATGCCCCCTTTGTGCCAAATTTTGGTAACTTCCGTAGGTTTGATGTAATTAAATACTATGAAGACCTTATATTCTTAATAGCTCTGCTGTGGTCTCCCCTGACCAAATTGGCCTCATGTGTCTCAATATTACTACAGCTCCACTTGAACATTAAATGCCAAGAGAAGTGACTTTCCAAGAGGTCACATGGCCAGAAACTTACACGAGGATCCTTGTTCAGGGCTACACATGTGGCGGGACCTTGAGCCAGTACCTAACCTCTTTGTTGCCTCATCTGTAAAACAAGGGAATAGTACCGACCTCAGAGTTGTCAGAACTGAATGACAAGATGAAGGTAAAACACCTGCTATGCTGCCCGGTCACCACCAGCACTGTCCTGCAGCTAAGGCCTGTGAAGGGCGCGCTGGACACATGGCTGCTACAAGTTATGGAAGACTATTTGACCTCATTAGTGTGTACTGTAAACTGTAGAATTCGTATAAGTCAGTAAAAATACCAGCATCAGAATATTCCAGCTTCTGTGGCTTGTACCTATAGTATTCAACCTGCGCGTAAAGCTCAGGCCGCTGCAGCCCCGCCCACGTTGGCGACAGACTGCCGGGTCCCCGGGTCAGGCCGGGCCGGGCTCCCGCAGCCGCAGGCGGGCCGGCCCCGAATCCCCCCCCCGCCCGAACCCGCTACAAAGTAGCCGCGGCGGAGCCCTGCGGAAACAAAGCGCGAGGTTATCCGGGCGCCCGGGCGTGGGCGCGGGGAGGCCTCCGGGAGGCCCCGGGTGGCGTCTGTGCCTTGCGCGGCCCCGGGACCAGCTACGCCCCCCCCCCCCCGCCCCGGGCCTCCGAGGACTGCTCTACCCCTCCGTTCTGGCCGCTATAACTTAATTTTTATATTTATTTATATACTTACATTTATAGTTTACATTCCTGAAGGAAATCACAGTTTCAAAGCACTTTATCAAGATTCTATTTGTCATATTCTTCTCTCCTCTCTGTCCCCAGGTGACTTAAACCATTTTACTTTTCAGCATCTGAGTCAGCTAAGGGCAGTTTGGGACAGGAAACCCATAAAATAATGGCTAAATATTTAAATAAGACTTCTAGGGGCACCTGGGGGGCTCAGTCTTTAAGCGTCTGCCTTCCGCTCGGGTCATGATCTCAGGATCCTGGGATCGAGCCCTGATCCCCGCTCGGCGGGAAGCCTGCTTCTCCCTCTCCCACTCCCCCTGCTTGTGTTCCCTCTCTCGCTGTGTGTCTCTCTGCCAAATAAAATCTTTAAAAAAGAAAAAAAAGAAAGAAAAAATAAGACTTCTAGGTTAGTTAGAATTCTATATACCTTGAATTGTGAACATTTCCATCGTGCTAGACTTAGTGATGATAAGGCAAGATTGATGAAGCGGTGTATTGACCCGAACACCACCATGTAAGGAGAGAAAGATCACACTTCGCAATTACGTTCTAGGGGTAATGGAGTATTCTCCCTGGTAGGTGGGCATAAGGCCCAGTTCTCACCTGTGGGTTTCTCTCCCTTTGACCCACCGTGTAGTCCCACTATACTCTAGTGCAGAATGGTCTCAGAAGGCCACCTTTTAATGAGTTCTCCAGACCTTTTGAATTATTGTCAAGACGGTGACGGGACGCCTGGGTGGCTCAGTTGGTTAAGCAGCTGCCTTCGGCTCAGGTCATGATCCCAGGGTCCTGGAATCGAGTCCGGATGGGGCTCCCTGCTCAGTGGGGAGCCTGCTTCTCCCTCTCCCTCTGCTGCTCCCCCTGCTTGTGCTCTCTTGAGCTCTCTGTCAAATAAATAAGTAAATATAATCCTAAAAAAAAAAAAAAAGACAGTGACTCAGCAGGACCCCTTCCAGCCCTAACATTTTTCTCTAGGCCAGCCAAAAAGTGGTCCACCAATCAGCAGCATTAATATCACCAGGAGGCAGACCCAATATCAGACCAATTGAATCCATGTGTTAGCAGATTCTAAGGGGATTTGTGAGAACAATCATACTGGAGAAGTGCTGCTGTAGAGCCTTTAAGGCAGACGTTTGGCTCACCTAAATCCTGCTGTGCAGGTTTTCAAATTGGAACCCAGAGGAACTCAGGGGTCTCTGCCTCTGCATTCTTAAGGTTGAACAGGAAGTCAAAGCTTGGTTTTCCCAAACTGTCACAGAGGTCCCAGGATTTAGAGAAGCCAGACTCAGAACTCTTGGTGAGAGAGAGAGAGTGGCTGGCCGATCCAATTTGTTGTCAATTATCACAGCGTGGTTTCAGTTCATTATATCCCACTGAATAATCCAGCTGCCCTACTCGAATTCATATCGTGGAAATGCGCCACTGATTGAAAAGAAAGGCAATCAAATCACCTCATCTTCCTTCTGTGACTTTGGAGGAAGGGTCCAAGCCTATGCCAGGCCCTTCCCAGGGCTGGGTTCCATCACTCTTAAGTTTTTTTTTAAAGGTTTCTGAAATCATACTCTGTTTTCTCCAAATAAGTGAATAAACCAGGATACAAATGTGATAATTCCTATTCCTCTGCTATTTAGGAGATTTTTATTTCTCTGCTACCATAAACTCACAGTAAATATGTAAAAGCAACTCTGGATATATAAGAGCTCGGCAGCATACCAATATCCATCCATGTCCCCATCCTTTCCTCCCTCAACATAAACATACTATTTTATTTTTGCCCTTATCTCTCCTAATTTGATCCTCAGTGATCATCTATTCATTTTCTAATTAATCATGGTATTAAATGTGTAAAAATAGAGTACTGGAAGTGTTAGGCTTCATTTATCCAGGGAACATGAAGGATTAAAAGATTCAGGACTTGAGGACACTAGAAAATATGGTCAACACTATTGACATTTTATATCAGATTAATTCTTTGCTTTAGGGGGCTATCCTCTGGCGGGGCAGATGCTTAGCAGCATCCCCGGCCTTTACCCCCTTTGCCCACTAGATGTCAGTAGCACTCCCTCAATTGTGACATCCAACAAAATGCCTCCAGACATTTTATTTAAGGCCTTAAATGACAAATTTGGGGAGGGAGGGGAGGAGGGGAATGGCCCCAGTTGAGAACTACTGGTTTATAATCTGTCCGAGCTTTAGTATGTGGTGTCCTCAATATCATAGTGACTCTGTCTTCTCAGTCTGAGAGGGATTGGGAGTAAAAAGAATTTAAAAATTATAAGGTTTGGGGGATTTGAGAGATGCGAACTACATACAAGGTTTTCCCTAGAATCACTTTACCTTTCCTGACAACGAAATTCAGACGTGAAACCTCAGGTAGGAATGGCTTTACAGATATTGGCAGAGAATCAACAGCAGTAGTCACCAACTTGGGCAACAGGTTAGAATCAGCCGGGAGTAAAAAAAAAAAAAAAAAATTCTTCCTTTCTTCCTTTTAAAGATTTTATTTATTTTTTTGACAGAGACACAGCAAGAGAGGGAACACAGCAGGGGGAGTGGGAGAGGGAGAGAGAAACAGGTTTCCCACTGAGCAGGGAGCCCGATGCGGGGCTTGATCCCAGGATACTGGGATCATGACCTGAGCCGAAGGCCCTGCCTCAACCCTGCCCTGGAAAACTGAGATTTAATTGGTCTGGAGATGGGCCTAGAATAGGTATTGTTTTTGTTTACTTTTGAGAGAGAGCATGAGCAGAGGTGGGAGGGACGTGGCAGGCAGAGGGAGAAGCAGGCTTCCCCTGAGCAGGGAGCCCCTATGGGTTCGATCCCAGGACCCTGAGATCATGACCCAAGCCAAAGGCAGTTGCTTAACTGACTGCGCCTTATGTACTTACTTTTTAACGTTTAAATCCTTGAGGGGAACAGCCTCCCATGGATTCTGCGTCCAATGGCTTTGGCAGGAATTTGGCACAAACCATGCAACTGTTTGCTTGGGCATTAAGTTCCCTTTCCCCAAATTACTCTGGTTTTGTTCGGTTTGCCACCAGGAGTCACTGGGTTCTTTGCTTTGCACATATAAGCATGTCTCGCCTAGATAGAATTCAGTTTCCTCTCTAACATAAATACCTTCAATTTTTAATTTTTTTAATTTTTATTTTTTTACCTTCAATTTTAAGAAGAGCTGTGTGGTCCCTTTGGTTTCAGAGACACCACTTATAGCCAGTAAAAATGGCCTTTGCCCATAGTCCTCCAGACAAATTTGTTTTAGAAGTCCTGTCACCAGCAGGTCTCCAACACCTCCAAAATAGCAGAAAGGGCCTTACATCATTAATAAAAGTTGAGGACTTATATTAAAGTGCCGCTCAGCATGTACTTCCTGCCCTTTTTCACACGGTGTCGTCCAGAGCGCACTACTGAAACACAAAGATGAACCCGGAGTATCTGAGCAGTGGTGTTCTCTTTCTTTGATGTTCTGAGAAAAGAGTGGCATCTTGTGTGGTCTAGTGAGAGATTTGAGTT